ACAGTTGGGCTGTGTACTCTGTGTGTTGACCATAGAAGTTCGCTTTCTTTTTTTCCCACCCCTAAAAATAGGTCCAATCCCTGTCCTCCTTACACACTCTCACTTATCTTGTATGCAATATGAGTTTGGTAGTGATCAGTGAAATTCGCTTCACTGTATAACGTTGTACAATGTTGAATGATGATGACATAATTCGATCAAAATTAATATTAACAATTAACAAGACCGAGAGCAGATAGCACACTGGGTCGACTAGTCACATAGTGCTCGAACGTGTGCAGGTTAGCGAATATTACCAAAAACTGGAAGTGGAAGACCAACAACTCCAAGGAATGATTACTTCAGCAATTTCGGGTCGCGTGAAGTCGGGTGACCCAATTGAAATTAACCACACTTCACATGAATTTTCGCTAAATTTGTCTTCTCTCGGTCCGGATGCGAAGCGAATGCGTTCTGAATGACCTGTTGAGATGTTTGTGTGGTGGAAATAATGTGGAATGATTGTAGCTCGGGATGCGGCTGTTTTTTTGGTGTTCTTCGAGCTGGAAGTGTTTTTGAGATTATGCACGCCTCAACCAAGTGAATGCAGAATGGTGTTTAGATCGATTTCGACTACTGCAGATAACTACCGAAGGATGCAGGACCTTTGACTCAGATTGAAAATTGCATTGCTCCGAAAAAAATTGCCCACATTGTTTTTGTGTATTTCATCATTCCGCTCAAGCCCGATTCGCTTTCGACTTTCCCCGCTCCGGTTTTCTCTCCCTGTTAATTTTGCTTTGTATTCATCGGTCTATTTTTTCTTTGATTGTTGCCTACTGTTTATTTTGACAGTAGCGCAATTCAGGATAGAGTTAAATGTGGTTAAAAAAATAGCTGAAAACATTATTGGGACAATCGTTGACTTTGTGTGCAATGGGTAACAACACGTGATATTGCCTCTTTTCAGAACGAACATATCCTGTTCGGGATTTGGTGGAATTGGCGGGGAACCAGGACTATCCAGTGCGGCACGATCCAGTCTACTAACCGGTCTACCATTTGGTCATAATGTTACCAGTCAGCTGATCGGATTACCCGATACCGTCGGTGGCCCGAAACTGACTTGTAACCTGGGTCCAGAACATTCCCGGATCCTGGTTGATCAGTTAACCAAGGAGCATACTGCACGCATGGAAATTCTTCAACTACAAAAACGTGCTTGGCAGCTGCAAGTGGATCTATTACAACGTTCTGTTAGTTCAAATGGACCGAACCATTCTTGATGGCGCGTCTTTTTTTATGAAACATTTCTTTTTCGGGACTGTTTTTTTAATTATCTTACTTTCATACATTAATCAGGGTGCATTTTCTCTGCGAACACTGACAGTTCTTGTACAGTTATATCAATTGATATTGTTCTCCCCAAATTTTCACCTGAACTTTTATCTGAGATTTTCGGGACTGCAGAACCATTAACTTCGCTAATTTCATGGTTTTTATACTGCAAACTAATAATTTATGAAAGACACCAGATTAGCAGTAGCTAGAAACAGAAATGAGGTTATATGAATCGGATACTGCGTCATGGAGGTATACACAAACCGGGAGGGTACTTCCGAAATCGATCAGCTGATCCGAAATATTTTTCTAATCATGGTTTCACTTGTGGTCTGGAATAACGAATTCTGTACGATCTACGGGTTGTAACCGCACAGGATTTGACTGGATACCGGATTCTCAAAGGATTGTCTTCCGGTAAGGATTCTGCTCCAGATACGAACTCCGCAGGCGGTAAAATAGAACACGGCTAGAAGTGTGTAGAAGTTCGTTTACTATGCAAAAATCATGGTTATTTAAGGGAAATAGAGAGGAAGTGGGAATGCTGATTGACCGGAATTTTGTCTACTGTTTTGATTGGTTGGCGGTTTCGACCAGTCACATGAGTTTTCCTATCCATGTTCTGATTGGTTGTCTCAGAAAAAAGTAAACGGTTTTCCGGCAGCACGCTATCTCTCTGACACCTCCATCCTTGATTCGAGGCTGTTTGGCATATGCTTGAAGCTTGGCGTCTATCTGGAACCACTCTGTATGCCTTCCTTTTTTCGACGAGTGTCTGTGTTGTTGGGAGTGCTTTTCATATGCTCTTGGTGAGGTCGGTGCTCGAATTTCTTCTCCCGGTAGATTGACAGTGTTCAAAAGCAGATCACGTGACAATAAAGGATCTGTTTGCGGTAGTTCGGTGTATTCCGTGCTGCTTAGTTGGTTTGCATGATGGACCCAGATGTCCGAATCGATCTGAATCTCGCACACAACATTACCGCATTTCTGGTAAATTCGCCGCAGCGTTCACTCTTCGTGATTGTGGCAATAATCCTTCGGCATCATTTTTTCTCCTAGGTAAAACACAATTTCATACTCTGGTGCTTTTTGAACTGCTGCATCATTGTCGTTTTTCGTTGTTCATCGCCACTGATTCGAAACATTTGGCCTATCGTTTCTGTTCGCTCGTCTGCTAATGTTCCTCGTTTGATTTCCATTGTCTCACCTCAACTGTAGATAGTTCTGCTTTCTTCTTACCTAATTCGTGCTACAGCTATCTAGACCGGGCACTATATGATGATTGATCGTTTCAGTCCTTTGGAATGAAAACCTCGTATGTGTGTTGTCACAAATTAGGTCGGTTCTACTTCACTCCGAACGATCTGCGCGTAGAAAACCGAACACGAAATGCAGCTGCTGTTGTTCAGATGTTTCGATTCAAGGTGGTGTTGTTGTGTGCTTACCACTCCCGAAAATGTGCAACAAACTCCAGTTCTGTTGAGGTCAGAGGCTGGGTGCTTTTATTTGAGCCTTATTGTATTCCGCCAAAGTTTTCAGCCAAAAATGTATGAACATTACAATACTGGCAAACGATGCAAAATATTTCGAAAAAACATGCTGCATAGATGGTAGATTTCAGAACGAAGATTTAATTCGCCAAACTGAATTCAAGCTGGATAGTGTATCAAGAAGTTTCTGCTTCCACACATCTGGGAGAACGAATCAGTCGGAAGTTGGAGTGAGCGGTCAATGTGCAATGATCGGTAGGGTTATCCGACCATATTTTGTTTACTAACTTTAAGCAAGCATTGATATAATTCTATCGATCCGACTATAGATGAAAATTCAGGAAACATAACTGATCATCAAAAAGTCATGATGCAGAGTCCCAAAATCAACCATCAGTAGATCGGAGATTGTTCACATTGTGGTGTTGGTTAAGTGGAATCGATTTGGACCTATCGTCCATTACAGCTCAGTAGATTTGTGGCCAGTCAATCCGAATCTGTATGAAAGTCCTGATTGCGTGTGAGATTGGTCAACTTTATCTCATTATCGGACCACTTGATGCTCAGATGCTCACTTGAGACGATGTTGCTTTATTTCTGTCGGCTCTGGTGTGAGCTGGTTGGAATGGCACTAATACACAGACCATCCATTTAG